GAAAGAAAGAAAGAAAGAAAGAAAGAAAGAAAGAAAGAAAGAAAGAAAGAAAGAAAGAAAGAAAGAAAGAAAGAAAGAAAGAAAGAGAAAGAAAGAAAGAAATTCCTGTATTGTTTTCTTCTTTTTCCTTACAGGATATCCCTTTTCCCTTCTCATTTTACGAACAATTAGATATATAGTTTTGGCATCTTATCTCCTTAAAAATTAATTTTGCTGACCTGCTAGTTCTGACGCTGAATTATTGGTGRGTAAACAAGGGCACAGCTGATGAAGCACAATGGTGTTACGCATGGATACACTGCTATTTTGTTAGAGTTAGAAAGACGGCTTTGAACTTGGAGTGGATCTTTGTTAAAGGTTTTGTAGAAGAAATGACCACCTGAAGTTTTTACATGAATTTCAAACAGCTGCGGTGCTACACTGATTACTTAAATCAGTTTTATAAAGCCTTTCAAATCACACTTGAAAGAAATTTGCTTGAAAGTGAGTATGACCAATTGGTAGGTTCTTACCACCTCAGAAAATACTGAGCTGTGTACCACCTATAATGCATGCTTGTATTCATATCCATATCAAACAACATGCAAATTGACTAAACCAGAGTTTTAACACTGGTTGAAGGCTACAATTTAAGATAGATGAAAACATTCACTGCAGTCTTGACTTTTTTTCTAAACCACAACTGAATACAAATTTTAGCACGTTAAATCGTTTTCTTGCTGCTTTACATAGACTTAAAATTACACTTGCATCAGCAGAGCCCTACAGCAAATGATGCATGGACACTAAATGATGCTTGCACTATACAAACTTTACCATACACTAGTAGTTTCCATAGGGGTTCTCAAAAATATTTGTTTCAAGACGTTTCCAAATGAAGCCAAAATCATAATTTAAAACACCAATTATTTGGTTTTCTCTACTTTTTATTTTTCTTTTTAGCTTTACATCACACTTAGGCAAACTGTGGTTATTTGCTTGTTATTTAACTTGTAAATAGTTGTAATCTTGTGAATAGTTTCAAACAAATTTTCTGAGTACCACTAGAAAGGATTCCAAGTACCACCAGTGGTATTTGTACCGCATTTTGTGAACCACAGGCTTAAAGTATTTTTAATCACAAGGGCTCAGATTAGAGGAAAAAAATAAATTGGTGAGGAAGTCAGGCTGAAATACACACACAAACACATGGACACGCACACGCATGCAAGCACACATACTAGCATTGTGGATTCTCTTCACTCACTTTCCCAAGTAGATCTGATTACGGCTAAAAACCAGCTCAGGTTTGTGAAAAAGGAGACAGGTCCTCCTACACCCTCCTCAAGTTAAGATGCGAGACATGCCACAAAGACTAGAATACATCCTGTAATACACACGCATTCCACTGGAGTATTCCTTACAGAAAAAGTATATAAATAAACAAAAAGCTCTAAAAAATAAAAACCTTTATCTATTTTTACTGCAGCTGGGTTGTTATATGTTCCAAATTCAAAGGTTAATGGTAAAAATAAATGTTTTTTTTTCTTTCCCAAACTGAGATTTGTAAACACTCATGTATTATTGGCTACCTTCCAAAAACCAACAGCTAAAGTTAAAAATCCCATTAATCAATGTAAACTAACCTGAGGGTGTAAATTTACATGAATTTACTTTCTTCACACCAGGGAGAATTGATTGTGTTTTTGGATATTTGCATATTGTACTGCCCTACAGGTGTTAAAATATAAACATGCCAGTGATGAAGTGTTTTTGTGCATGCTCCTTCCAATAAATTATTACGACCTGCAGGTGGGAGATTGTTAATAGCAGCGCCGTTTGGAGCATATTTAAATTTTATTTATATCTCAAGGTTCCACAGACTTCAGAGCGCAGGCTGCACTTTAAACACACACCACAGCTGAGATTTTGAATATTCCCCACAGTAACCAAATGACACCATTATCTGATTTGACTCCAGTTACGACAAGAGTGGCCATTTTTTAACCTTTTTTTCCACCCCAAGCATTAAGCTCCCTCTGCTGGACGTTGATAGAAAACAAGCAAGAAAATGTGTTGACGAGCGAAGGCAAATATTTATTAGAAGAACTCCATTTTTGTATCAATCAAAGAAGTTATATGAAAATATGTGCTGTAGAAGAGGCCAGAGAAAATTATTTTTGCTGTAGAGAAAGTCCCAATTTATTACGATCGTCAGTCATCACACTTGATGTTTTTTCTCTTTTAATTCCCAAACCTAATGAGTGCTCACTTTGCTAAGTCAAAATCAGACCTTCTGTGATTATATCATCAGATCTGAAATAAGATATATCAGCTGTAGACGCCAGGCGGCAGAGAAGCAGCTGGTTACTCTGTCATCATGTCAGCGCCCTCTCCTCCTGTGGCATCATTCAGACTGAGCTCCTCCAGCATCTCCACCAGGGAGATACGAGGCGCTCCGTCGTCGTCCGTGTCGCTCTCCACTGGGATCTTTGAGGCATCTGAGAAATAAAGAAAGAAATTGGCATCTGCTCATTAACTATCCAAAAAAAATTATAATTTACAAAGTGACACAAGTTCTGTCAGAAAAATAAGCAGATGTTTTCTGAAAGAGTGCAACAGTCCGACATGTTAAAAAGTTACACAATAAAACCTGCTCACCTCTGTAGATGTTGACATTCTTCCTCAAAGCCTCATCTTCCTCCAGGTCCTCCAGGAAGTCTTGGTATTGTCTAAAAACACAAAAACAGAAATGAGGACCAACTCACTTCACAACGAAACAAAACAAACAAGAAATGTTCACTAATTTTAATATTAGCACTGTACACTAAAAAAATGAATCTTTATTGGATTTTCTTGTTTTAAATTCTTAATTTAAAGATTCTTTAAAGAAACAAAATGATAATGTTGTAGTCTGAGCTAGATCTAATATTTTCTGAAGAGGTTTTTATAAAAACGATTGTTTTTATATTCCACTAAAATCCCAGAAAAAAATTCTCAGTTAATCAAAATTATTTGCACCTAATGAATGATGTTAATTATTCCTGAGTAACAGAACCAGTCTAAATACACATTATTAATCTGTAATACTTCTCAAAACCTAGAATTTGTTTTATCCACTGTAATCTCACATCATTCTGCAGCAACTCTACAAAAACCTTGTTCATCTGATGATGATGTACGGCAGGAATGTGTTTTAAACGACAGCAAGACGTGGAAAAACAATCTTTAAGTCATTCAATAAAGAGAATGACATGAGCGACACATGCTCCTACCTTTCATCATCTGTATCCATGCCTTCACGGTCTCTGGCCATCTCCTGCAGTTTCCAGTTCCTGCGCTTCACTCTCCTGCTGCGGTCGTAGCTCTTCTTGATCAGCACCTTGAAAAGTCAACATGGAAAAGGTACATATTAAAAACAAAACAAACTGTTTCATTTTGCCCTGTTATTTTGTACAAATGCGGCTGTCCATCAGTATTTACCACTAGAGGTCAGTGTTAATAAAGTGAACAAGAAGGCACTAAACAAATAATTTGGGTTTTGAAGTTTTTACAGAGAAGTGCAGCTGAATTTACCACATCAGGAATATGATGAGAGTTCATCTTGTTCAGGTATTCATCGTTAATGTTGGAGTTGGCAAAGTCATACCTGAAGAGAAGGAGACGAGGAGGAAATGAGGAGAAGAACTTTTTGAAACTTTATTTTTTGGAGCCTCTAATAACTGTGAGGGAAGAAAACTTCCTCTGCTGAGAGGTGTTTTGGAGGCAGAAGCACAGCAGAGAGGGACATCCCAGAACTGCTTCAGGGTAAAAACCCACAGCTCAAAACTTCCCATCAGCTGCGCCCACTCACCCCAGCACCAGGTCTCCGATGTTGAGCAGGTGGCCCAGGTAGGTGCGGCAGTGGTACTGCTGACTCGTATCCATCTCTGATGTTTTCTGGACCCACACATCAGCCAGGGTGTGCTGCAACACAAAAACAAACAAAAAAGAATAGAAATATAGCATCAAGCCGGTAAGAAAACATTCCTCCTGTTTTTATTTTTTATATCCGTTTGTTCAGACGATGCCATCAGTGATGGTTCAACATATGGAAAGAGGAAAAACAGGAACTCCTGAGTGGTTTTCTCATCCTGGCCTGAGTTCTGCACACAGGTTCAGGATCGGTGTAATGGTCTGCTATTGATTTTACCCCCTGCCCCCCATAATGCAATCTGTTCTGCACCAGCACACACACCGCCTCACCTTGTTGGACCTCATGCCGGCCCCGGCACCCAGCTTCTGGTCCCGGATGATGTCGATGTCCATAACGATGAACTCCTCCAGCTGCCGTGGGCTACAGAGACTGCTGAAGGGATTGCGCCAGAACGTGTTCCCGTCCACCTCCGCAACTAATCAACCAGGAATTCATTATGAACGACTAACAGACATCAGAACACAGACGACAGAATTAAATTGTCCTTTTTGTTCAACATCAAAAGAAATCCTACTGAAAAGACTTACTATCTACCCTACAAATAAACTGCACACGCACTGACTCACAGTAAATCTGCTGAACCAACTTTAGAGCATTTCTGCATTTCATCCAGCTCCAATAGTTTAGTAAACTAAAACATCCTGTTCTTTGAAGTGTAATAAAAACACGTCCTGCTGCAAAAACTCAGATTTTTTTGAGAACCCTGCAAAAAGAAAAGACTTTAACTAATACTGCTAAAAAATGCAAGAAGAATTTTGAAAGAAAAGAGTTGATTGTGAATGTGCTGTGGAAGCAGGAGGATGATTTAAACTACAGTGAACTAATACACAATTATAGTTAATATGAAGCTAACATGAGCCACAACAAAAGGAGCTGAAGCTGAGTGTCTTTAGGATGCATTGGTGCTGAAGCTGGAGGTAAACTTACTCTGCAGCGTGCGAGGATCGATGAGGTGGATGGTGCTGGTGACACGAAGACACACACAGATTTGACCCATGTTCCCCAGGCTCTGCGCCAGCCGCGGTGAAAGACACACAACATTGTCCTGAAAACAAAAACACCAACGGAAAACTTTCAAACTGAGACCACAAAGAACAAAAAATGTTTATAATAGTTCACCTCTTTAGTGAAAGTGTATTATCATTTAACAGGACTGTCAAAACACAGCTAAGCCACGAGTGGCTTAATAAAAACTAATAAAAAGTAAAATCCTTAAAAGCTTTCCAGCTGTATATGAACAGATCAAAACATTTCTACTACAAAATAAAGGTCTGCAATTACAGTTCTGGATACATTTAATTTTTAACAATAAATTCAAACAAAACTTGAAAAGGGACAATAATCAGATAAAACTGTTGTATACCTTACACACAGGAACGATTTCTACAGAGAAAGTGCTCTTATAGTTGTAGGTGTTAGAATGAATATCATGAGAGATGAGGCGCTGAGATGTTTTACACCTGAGAAAAATAAAAAAACAAATATTATGACATCACAAACCTTGTTTTCCAAATCAAACATACTGTATATTAAAAAAGTCAAAAATGCACTTAAATGTAAAAGAACATAACATTCTCAGAAATATAACGTTATTAATTGTTTTAGTTGTGTTAAATTACAGTAATTTAATGGAAAACATAAGTTCTGAATACAAATCAGTCTGTGTGAAGGTTCCTCACCTGCAGGGCACAGTGCACTGCAAGAAGTCAACCATCTTCTGTGCATGCTGCTTGAAGCCYTAGTAAAAATCAATCCCGTCTACGAGGAGAGAAGAGCAACACCATCAAACACACTCCACCAATAAATTCATCACAGGTGCGGTGCGTCGGGTCAGCACTATTTTCAGAGCTCTCACACGTGCAAACAATCTACGAGAAAGCGGGTGAGGAGCGCAGAAAATATGGCAACCACATGTTGAAACCTTCAAGAAGCTTTTAAGTCCTGCCTCGATGTGGACAGAATTTAGTTTATAGTATTGGGCCAAATTCCACTTTACAATCCTGTCCAGGAGGACGTGCAGCTGCTGCCGAGCTGTCACAGTGTGCATCTGCTGGAGTGGAGCTTTGCATGTTTGCCTGGTAAGAAACTGGTATGAAGTGCCTGCTCTGATTACGGGACTCTGATTAGACACACACCTCCCTGAGGCCAGCTGTACCAAGTGTTCGGCAACCACAAACATGCGTGCACAGCTTGCTGCCAGTTACAGGAAGAGGTAATTAACACACGACACATCATTACGCTCTGCTTCACTTGATTCTGGATTAGTCCCACTGATGGTAAACCGAGGAATTCTCCAACTTCTCAGTCTGATTAAAAGCTTTAAGAAACAAGTCATCTCTCTTCTATTAGTCTACGTTGCTAGGCAGGCAAATGCGACCCAAATTAAATTTTTGTTATCATGACTGTCAAAACTCAAAAATTGTCTGTTATTGAAGTGACTGCGGACTGGAGTTGGGCATAATCTTATCGTGTGCAATTAATCGTCAGAAAAACATCGATTACTTTTTGGGACTTGACAATTAATACAGTTAATGCCACCAAGCAGACTGACTGGAGATTTCCCCGGTCACTCTACTTCAAATATGAGAAACATTAAAAAAAAAATTCTGTAATTTATTTATCATTACTGAGTTTTTACTTGGTCTATCAACATAATTGAAAATTTGATGTATAGCCTGAAGTCTGTACTTTTCACACAATTTGGAACAGATTTTTTATGAAGAGCAAATCTTTCCCACTAGAGTAATTTATAAATTGGTCACGTGACCAGGATATGGAGACCAGGGACTCGTCAAATTAATCGTTATCAGCTAAATACCACAATTAATCGTGATTAACTTTTTTGCCAACATTGCCCAACCCTACTGCAGACTGAATCCTCGTGTCTCATTTCATCTGACTTCTAAGTCAGTAAGGTGGTGGGGGGATCAATCCAAGAATTTAGAATATTGATTCTAACCTGGTGCAGTTTAAATCTTGTAGAACAGAAGTCCAGTTGCTTCGTCTTTTTTCTTTTAATGTTCCGTGACCTGGATGACTGAGAATCCATGGAAATGTATGATATTAATGTTCGTCTTGGACCGTATCGATACTGAAGTTACTGGATCGATACTTTAATTCCAGCATGTCGCTCCTGCTCCAAAAATAAAACTTCAGGATCGATGCGGTCTGCGACCGCTCGACTTTACTATTGTATGATTCTGTGGATTCTCAGTCATCCAGGACATGGAAAACTAAAGAAAAAAGACAAAGCAACTGGACTTCTGTTCTATAGCTGAAGACGTGTGGAGCTACAAGAGTTAAACAGAAAAACTTGAGGTTAGTGGATCGATCCACTCACTTCCACCTCAGTAATGTAGGTAAAATATAATGTGAATGTCAATGCAAAAGCATCTGATTTCTGCTAAATAATCATAACTGAGCATTAAGAGCTGCAGTGTGAACATAGCCTTATATGATCTCTCATGAGAAATTAACAAAAAGGTCTACATACCATGAATTTCTTTGATGTTGAGAYCATTCTGATGGAGTTTATGCTTCAGGATCAGCTGTTCTAGATAGTAGAATGTCTTTTTATGAACAGTCTGGAAATAAAAAAATAAAGAAAATACATTATTCTGAGAATCGTATTCATGTTTGACATTAAATTTAATTTGTCCTACAACATGTTGACACCTTGACCTAGGAAAAGAGCTCCAGGGTGTAACATCAGTGATTTATTTCATTTAAATAACTAGTTTTTATTTCACAGCAAATTAAGTTTGGACAAATCATAGTTAGGAAACAAAAGCTGCTCACTACAAGCATGATGTTCATTAAAACTACAAAGATAGCTTCTACAGACTACAGGTGCATTCCTTTTCAATCACTTGGGCGATGAGCCGGGTAGAAGTGATGAGTGACGCGTTCAACTGCGTGTTTAAATTAGGGACGATCAGAGCGAGCTGAGATTGTCATTTACAGCTGACAACATAAATGTGAAACAGACATAAAAACACTAAAAGTACCAAAGCCACTGTGCACTAAATGTGGGTCTTTTAGTCCAGCCTAATCCTCCAACACATGGTGTCACATGAGCTTTACTTTAAGATACTTATTTCAGTTTAACATGTTTGAAAATTTATTTTTGCACATAAACTAGCATCAAGGAAAGAACTACATGAACAAACGAGTGAAAACAATTATCTGAGATGTTTTTTATTTTTTTAACAACGTCTTGTTTGTTTGCATGGAGGAGGCAGGTCTTAAAATTTGTAGAAAAATCAGCCAGCAGGGAAGCTTGTCTCATCTTAGTTTCAAGACAACCTATATGCAATCTCTGGGTGAAACATCCAGCACAAACTCTGCCTGCATTTTGTTAGTTGGGCTGCAAATGTTGCGCAGCCAGTTAGGGCTGCCATGATTAGTCGACGACTAATCGATTATTAAAATAGTCGATGACTAATTTAATAAAACGATTAGTCGTTTTATTCTCTCCAAACTGCTTTGACACCTTCCACTGCCACATCTGTCTTTCTGTCCTTGACACACATGCGCAGTAGTGGTAACTGGGGTAGGCCGTGGACGTCACAAGACATTATACAGGCAGGCTCTGGTATCATGGCTACCCAGCAACGGAGCTCAAAAGTGTGGGATCATTTTAAGAAAATGAAAGAGAAACCTGTGTAATATCTGCAGAGCAGAACATACCTTCCACAGCAATTATTTTTAGTTAGCATACAGCTAAAATCTAAACATGGTTATATAATAGCAGCTGCATTCTGGCGCGATAAGCTGTATGTTTTATATTCAATTAACGTACGATCCTATTAGTCAACTAATCAAAATATAATAATCGGTGATTAATCGACTATAAAAATAATCGTTTGTGGAAGCCCTACAGGCAGTTAAGTTTGTTTATTTTGTTGTACATTTACCACAGATTTATTGAATTTTATCTACAAAAACAAGCAGATTTACAAATGTATCTATTGAATAAACTTATATACACCAACAACGTACTCAAACTGGTAAGTTACATTTATATAAGTGATCCATTGAGGTGGTTGTGGTACATTTGTAGGGAAGCTGACTTGATTCCCCACCATACGCAGGCCATGATGTGGAGTCCTTGAGGAATATTTCTCCTCAAATTTATCATTGTGTGGAGCATAGATTGATAGACATTTCACCACCAGCAGACCAGTGATACACACCTTCTGTCTAACTTGGATGACTGCCTTCCAGAAGTCCTTGGCCTCCACACGATGGCAGTCGTCACACATCTGGGACTGAATGACAAACTCCACCACAAACACCTGCTGCAGGATGGCGCCATTCATCACCTGGAGAGAAAAACACAGCAGAACGGTAAACAAGCTGTAGCTGCATTCAAATACTGCGCTTCAAATTATTTATTTACCAAACAATTAGAGAAGAAGACAAAAAATGGAAAAAGCAATAAAAAGGCTCTCCATCAGCACAAACAAAGGAGTTGGCACCAAGAAGCCTGATGGCTCAAGTTCTCACTAAAGGTCAAGGGGATGAGATAACAGCCAAATGCAAAACTTTCCTCCTCTCAGCCAAGAAAAGACAAATCTGTTGCCCTGCGGTGTACAACTTTTGATTAATGTGTTTATTACACGTCTGCAGAACTATTTTCATGTTTAGTCTGAAATAAAACACACACTTAAACATTATATGATTCAAAGACAATCCTCAGCCAATCAGCACCTGAGAGAAACACAAATACACTATCTAAACAACAAAACCAATTACCTAGCTCAAGTGACTGATCTGTTTAAATCTCAAGTCTGAATGTCACTTTCCCACATTTATCCGTTTTCTTACCTCTTTCTGGATGGTCAGTTTCATCTTAATCCTCTTTGAGTGCGGCTCGGTCCACAGAAAGCCAGCATCAATGAGACGCACCTGTGGAGAGAAAAGTGAGCGTTGAATTCAAAATGGAGCGAGCTGAGTGAATACTAACATAACACATCACAGCAGCTGATCATCACAGCACGTCAAAGAAATAAGACAACCTATATCTGCAAAGATTTCTATAAATGTAATGCTTTTTGACCAAACCACTCAATGTATGTAGATTAAATTTAATGGTTTGTTTGAAGGACATGTTTTTTTTAATTTGTCCATCCATCCATCCATTTTCTGTACACGCTTCTTCCTTTTCAGGGTCGCGTGGGTCACTGGTGCCCATATCCAGCAGTCACAGTGCGAGGGGCGGGGTACACCCTGGACAGGTCGCAAGTCCATCACAGTCCATCATGTTTTTTTTAATTTGTCAATCATAGTAATTAAAATACTGGATTTATGTGTTTGTTTGTACATGTAAACAATAAAATCAGAATGAAAATCAAAAGTAAAGAGGTAAAATGACTTCTTTTGCAATTTGCAATGTTTCTTCTACTTTAAATAAAGCAATATTATAAGTTTACACTAAGCCAGTCATTGTCTGCATAGATTTTAACCACTTTTAGTTGTGCAGATTCATGCCATTGCTTCTGGTGAGAATCAGCTAGACTCCATCTTACTTTGGTCATTGAGCTCTTAAGCTTTTTTAGGCAAAGAGCCAGCAGCTCCCTGGACTCCAGAGCACACTGCACCCAGGTGGCTGGTGGTTGAAGGTACCTGCAGGAAAGACAGATGTCAAAGTTTTAAAGTTTCAGCTAAATAAGAGAAACACTCCTATGTTGTAGTGCTGGGCGGTATACCGTTTTGTACCGAATACCGGTTTTTATTTTTGTTATGATATGAATTTTTTGAATACCGGACATTCCGGTTTAAATAGCGGAACGTTTCGTCACGGCCGCCAGTGAACCGTTGTTTCCCGGGGGACATTTTTCCTTGCTGCACTGCTATGTGCGTTAGCATGCTAATGTTTGGAGCAGCTAGTTGCAGCCGCGGGTGGCGATTCTGCTGCTTATATTGACTGACGCTGCGGACATGAAAGCGCCCGCTGAGCAGCAGGAGGAGAGGACTGTGGAAAAAGTTCAAAACTTATTTCTAGCGGCAGAACAGGTTAAAAGATGGCTGTTTGATGTTATTTATTGTTTTTTAAATCATCCTACAGGCTCTGACATGTTAGATAAATTTGAAAATCAGGTTTTGAAAAAATCCGTAAGAATTGAAAAGATCCGTGAGATTGCTCTATACGTCTGTATACCTGCAAAATGACGTTAAATCCTTATAACTTACAGACAATCCGTACAAGTTGACATGTATGAGCAGGGTTTGTACATTTTATTATCAGCTGAGCTGTGATGAAAAGAAAAATACCGTCAAATACCGTGAAACCGGTGAAAATGTTGAAAATACCGTGATATAAAATTTTGATCATATCGCCCACCCCTACTATGTTGTGTTACATCACAGGAGTGAGGTGTAGATGTAAAGAACAAGAAAAAGAATGAAACAAACCGTTCACACTGCTTGCAGAAGTGTACTGTGACTTGTTTGGGAATTCCCTCTGAGATGTCGACCTGAGTTCGCAGGCAGTCGACACACATGTTGGCAGGGTTGGGAGGGACGGGGACACCGCAGGTACAGCACAGGCTGTGGAAGACAAACAACAACCGTTAAACCTCTGAACAATGGAAGACATGTCAAAACTCTCAGATTAATATTTTGTTACTTTAATAAAACACATCTCTGTGTTTTGTCTTTGTGTTTACTTTAAATATAATTTTTACAGTTTATTTACAGTCTTTCAGTATCAATAAGCTGTAGTTTTTATGACTGATGAACACACGAGTTGACTGCTTACTAATTTTTCCTGCTTCTGAGATTGTAACAGTATGATGTTTGGAAAAAAACACACTGCTACTTTCTATCAAAGCTGTTTTCTCACATCAGTCTCCAAACATTTTTAGTCACACAATAGAAATGCTTTGAGGGAAGAACTGAAATGTCCACATTTTTTGTGCATATTTTACTTTTCCAGCTCTCTAGTCAGAGCATGCACCCTTATTTTAACACAGCAAAAAATGCACTGCAAACAAAGTGCATACTGGGAAGAAATATGCCGCTTCATGCTTTTTTTCCCTTGCTGACACTTATATATGTTGCTTTCCATTTACTCAGCATTGTTGTGAAAACATTCTAATAATAAATATATTTAAACAGAAGCTATTCAACAAAACAGTTTTTTTTTATTGTGTCCCATCAACCAAAACACAATATAAGCTACAGATGTTCAGAAGATATTTATATGAAGAAAATCCTGATATAATTAATAAATAATTACACGTTAATAGATTTAACTGAATGTATGTTGGAATGTGCTAAAAAGGGAAATTGTCAGTAACACACCCATTTTAAGACATACTGAGCTTGTATTTAGTATAAAAATTGCAAAGTGAAACCTCTAACATATAATAATTTCAAATCAAAATGTAAAAAATAGACACCAAGGCCCTTCAAAGTTCCTCCAGGAACTTTACTAGGTTTATACTTATTCAGTGGATTACTATGATTTATATACTTATGTTGTGTGAATTATTATATATGAAGACTTTTAAGTGGTTGATCAATAACTGTTAAATTGGGACTGTACAGACAAATATGGGTAAGGATGACTTGAGTATGTATTGGTATGTTATTAAAATAAATGTTCACTTTGTCCTTACTCAGGTTCACACACTTTAGTGACTTTGGCAACAAAATGATGGTAATGCCTCCATGATGCACTGAATTAGTACTTAAAAATGTTTTGTCCTAACAAAAGAGGCATTTTCATAGCGGAAGAATCACTAACAACTCATTCATTAACCCTGATAAAATAGAAGATAAAGATCATTACCTGGGACAACTTTACATTGCGAAAATATATATATATAGTAAACATACAGACAAAACGCAGAGATGTGTTTTATTATAGTAACGAAAGTTTTGAAACTATATAGCAGTAAATATACTTACATATTACCCTGGCTGCTGCTAGCAGGAGCTTGCATGTACTCCATTTTCAATTTGACAGACTGGATCTCCGAAGCCCCGTGAACTTTGGCAGCAAAGACAAGGCAAACGTGACAATTACAGACTAAAAAAACTGAATAACTGAAACTTTTATAACATCAGCTTGGTTCTTTATACTTTTATTTTTCGCTGTCGGCAAACAAGCGCCACAAACAGACGTGAGATGCCTGTGGAATTAGCATCTCTACTCATTTAGCATTGGACGCTAGTTTGGTAATGTCGGGAGTATTATTAAAGACTTATAATGAATAAACAAACTAAAAATATGCACAAATCATTTCGATGACTATAACTACAACCTTGTGCTGACAAGTCAATACATGGACGTTTTTCTCAAAATTTTTTCAACACACCATCAACTTCAGTTCTCCACGTTTTCACCACGGAGGACCAAGGAGGCTGCGCAAAACTGCAGGACCCCAAGACAATCTTTGTTGGCCTTTATTTTTGCCTGAACAAAAATCGCCGCACACAAGCACAGTACGTTTAACACGCATCCGGTTAACCTTTATATGAATTAAATACAATAATAAAAAGTAAGAAAACCTTTAATCAAACATTATTAATAGCGTTTTAATTGGTGTATTAATTTAATTCTAGCAAAAGTTAGGAGATAAGATAATAATTTTGTAGGCTCAGAACATCAAGACCGGAGTAGAGTAACTATTTTAAACATTTTTAATATTTAAACTTGGTTTATGGAATGAATACACAAACAAAGTAKCTAAAACGAGAAAATAAAACAATAAAAGTACTCCACGTCCCTTTGAGTTATACACAACCCAAAATTCCAGTTTGCAAAACCAGAAATTACCTTAAAAGTTTTAATTTCTTTATTATTATTATTATTATTTATTGAAACCAACGTACCCCTTTTTATTGACCAAACTGAGACGTATTGTTTACTCTCGTCAATGCAAGCAGTCACTTATTTTGTCAATCATAACTAAGTAATTTCATATCATACTGCAGGGTCTGTGTCCCTTTCGGCACCTGTCGCACGCAGTTGTTTGGATGCGTTCAAGTGCCATTGGAATAATCTTAATCACTTAGTTGTAAGGGAAAAAATCTGGGGTTTTGATCAGGCTTGTGGACAATTTAACCCTAATTTAACCCTCGAGGTTGCTTTTTTCCCTTAAAGCATCATAAGTCTCTTGTACTAATAAAAAATGTCAAACGTTGCATTTTTTATCATGTGTATTTTCTTCTGTGGAACCAACAAATTACTTCAAATGTCAAAAATATTATTTATCATTTCATTGATTCTTTGTGTGTTTTCTGTTTCACGATGACATGCCATTTTGTGATAATTTGTATTACATGTTAATTTATGTCTGCAATTTCATTTTCACACAGGCTTCTTAGTTTCTCTGTTTTGTGTGACATTTTTTGTTTCCACGAGACGAAAATAAAACAGCGCTGTATCGCCACAGCGACCCCTCTGAAAAACATTCCGAGCTGCACCTGAAGGCAGCACAATCAAGAAAACACAGCAGCACGGAGGCTCGCTCAGGCAGTGTGTGGCCAGCGGGAATGCGCGAGCTTCTGCACGCGCAATATCACTACTTCAGCTGGTCAGAGCTCCTAACCTTGGCTGCACCCCGGTGACGAAGTCCGCACACTTTGCTGAATTTAAAGTCCGAACGAGAGAGCTTCCTGCTTTCCTCTCCCCGGGTGTCGGTGTCCTCTCGGACCGCAGCAAATGGTCAACGGGCGGCAGTCGTCGGTGGCTCACAGCCGTGGGGCTACAAGCTAGAAGGAACCCGCTGCTGGTCTCTCTCTCTCTCTCTCCTTCTGTGTCTGCGAGGCTCCGGTCCTGAAATGCAGTAAACAGAGTCACCTGTTCAGTGAGTGCAAACCCGAATGTTTCCTCGGCGTGAAACGCTCCTTTAAATGTTTCACGGCTACAAAAACAGCGAACGATGGAGTGAAATCTTGCGGGCGAAGCGACACTCGCGCGCGCCAACCTGCCGTGATTTCCTGCGTGTAAACAAATAAATGATAGAGGATACAATGACCCTGCTGTCTCTTCTAGGTCGGATCATGCGTTATTTTCTGCTCAGACCGGAGACCTTGTTCCTGCTGTGCATCAGCCTGGCTCTGTGGAGCTACTTCTTCCACACGGACGAGGTGAAGACCATTGTGAAGTCCAGCCGCGACGCGGTCAAGATGGTGAAGGGGAAAGTGGCCGAGATGATGCAGAACGAGCGGTTCGGCGGGCTGGACGTCCTGGACGCGGAGTTCTCCAAGACCTGGGAGTTCAGGAGCAACAACGTGGCGGTGTACTCCATCCAAGGCCGGCGGGATCACATGGAGGACAGGTTCGATGTGCTCACGGACGTCGTCAACAAGAGTCACCCGTCTATTTTTGGGATCTTTGATGGCCACGGAGGAGAGGTGAGGAGTTCCTGTGCAGATTGTAGCAAAACAGTGGTTCTCTGCTCATCTCATCCCCCTTTGTATTGAAACCAGAAGATTCATTAAACTCAGCTACAGTGTGAAGAGGCAAATTTATGGTTTCATGTTGTTGTTGTTGTTTTTATTATTATTATTATTATTATTATTATTATTATTATTATAGTACATTTAGCTAGATCTGCTTGGATTACTGGTTTTAATTGTTTCAGATATGCCCAAAACATATGTCCTCTTAGGACTAAATAGTTAATCCTAAAACATACGAAATAATATTGATGCCTATTAAATGCAGCCAAGGTTGTGTTGAGTTGAGGCTCTTGACTTTATTTTTACCAGTCAAATATTAAGTTATTTGATCAAGTTGATGTTTGTATTTTATTTATTTTACCTGCTTTTCCCCTCCCTCTGCTTGTTGAAGTCATGTTCCTGAGCACCATTGAGAAACAAACTGAACTCTACATCCTGCAGGATTTTTTTACATACCACTTCCTCTTACAACACTTAAAAATACTACGTGTATGACTGACTAAACGTAGAATTAATAATACAGAAATATGAATAAAAAGTAAGAGCTTTTCTACTCTCTGAATTGTGGTGAGTAGCTTCTGTTTTTAATTCTGAACTCTCCCAATTTCCAACAATAAATTCCCACTAGTTCCAGTTGAAAGTTACAACTTTAAGTGGGAAATTCCCACTTACAACTGGGCCACAGCAGTTGGCGAAAATGCAGCAAAATTGAGATTTGACATGGTGAATTTCATTGGTTGCTGGCTACTTTTCAACCCTGTTCACCTCTACCTCGTGGTAGGATGACTTCGTTTTGCAGAAAAAATAACATGCATTAAGGGAACTGTAGTTTATGTTCAATGCTGGCTTTAAAGCAGCTTATTCTAAGACATTTTTACATATTTGAAGCTTTTGTTGGCAACACAATATGCTGTGGCGGATAGGGGTGTAAGAAAATATCGATARACTGAAATATCGCGATATTTCATTTCCCGATACTGTATCGATATTCTAAAGCCCTGTATCTATTTTTTTTATTAAGGTTTAAAATGTCAACTTTCCTGCCAGCCATTCATTTTTATATTGTAGTTCAGCCTCTGATCACTAGTTGGCAGCAGTGAGCCAGCCATTTGGCTCCTCTACCTCTTGAGGTAGAGGCCATTGTTAAGTGTTGGGTGACCATATTGTAAATTAATATTAAAAACTAAAAGCTGCAAAAATATATTTTCAAACTATTTATTGTTAAATTTAGTCTAGTAATTGAAAACAATGATGAAATAAGAAATATGAAACAAATAAACTAAAATACATACAAAGCAGAACACAGCTAAATGTATCAAAAGCATGCCTATGTAATTAGAATCATTTTTTTCCCCTGAATAGAATTTTTGGTCAAAAAAAATTGCATTATATCGCGATATATCGCCTTGCTTATAGTATCGCAATATATCGGGATATATCGTATTGTGACCACTCTGTCATGATATGTATCGTATCGCCAAATTCTTGCCAATACACAGCCCTAGTGGCGGACCACATTTTGCCCATAGGCCTTGAGTTTAACGTGATTTAGAGTCACCCGATAAGCTAATGGATGTTTTTGGTCTATGGAAGGAAACTGGAGTGCCTGGAGAAAATCCATGCCCACACAGTGACGATATGCCTTCAGGCCAGGAGGTGAACCTGTGACCTCTAACCGCTGCTCCATCGTGCTGCCCACTTACAAGCAAAAGTTGTATTATTCAAAATCAAGTTAATCAAAGTTGCGTGTCATAGTTGAGGATAATGAAATCATTTTCTGTCTCGACACAGAAGCCAAATTCTCTGTCTTTATTTCTGTCCTGGCTTTTTTCCTCCCTTTTCTATTTGCTGCAAAACATGTGATTTATTTTTTGAATGCTAATTTAATTTTATAAATTGATTCATTATGGAACATGTCAGGTTAAACTTAATTATTGAAGAATTTCCTAAAGCTGCACTGTGAAGTTTGAAGGCTGTCTTTAATATGGTGGCTCAGTGTTGGGACTAAAGTCTCCTGCCATGTCAGCTAATACTTCAGCTGATTTGATCAATTCTGTATATGCAACAAGGTGCAACACAGCAGGAAGCAAGATGTGCTGTTTGGGCAATCTCGGGGGGGGGGGGGGGGGGGGTTGCTAAATTAGCCTTTTTGTCAACGAGTATGTAGAAACAAGTGGACTCTTGCCACACTTCTCACTCACTCAGGCTAGACAGTTTCATTTTAATGGTAATAGAGCTCTTTTTTTATTTACAGCTCAAAATCGTACCAAACACAATTYCAGTTCGAAACACTGCCATATTTTTATTGGTCTAAACTGATTATAGTTGGAAGGAGCAGAGCGAACTCGAGAGACCTTTATAGAGAGCCGGCTGGACTAGTTCAGAACATAATTGAAATGGGTCATTGATCTCTGCTTTGCCAGTCAGTGCCCATCTTTCCCCCAGAAAGTCTTATTTCTTAAGCTGTTTGTCAGAGAGAGGCATAACAATGAAACATAACACGTTTGTAGTCGACTCCAGATTAAAATCGATACGGTTAAGATAGATGTGGTTTGACTCATTACTGTTGAGTACACTTGTTGTATAGTAACAACTTGTTATCACAGGAAGTTAAGTTTCCTTGACACAAGTGCATTGAGCTGGCCAAATTAAACGTAATGCTGTATTCCTGAGTGCTGCAGCTCTTGTCATTGTTATCGCCCACAGTCGAAGGCAAAAAGATGTCTGTTGCTTATTAGAGGCAACTCTGTCGGTTAGGAAAATATCAAGGAAATGCATTTCAATGAAACTGTCAGGAAGTGATTGGATACATCTGCTGCTGATTACCATTTGGAGACAATCCATTTCAAGATGGCTGCCACAGCTAATTGACATTCGCCACCACAAACAGGCTACATCTCAGTAGTGGTGGGCACAGCTAACCAAAATATTAGCTTCACTACCACCTAACCATTGCACAAAATGTATAATGTGAATAATGTAGGTCAACACAACTCAGAATCCTTCATAGATCACAGATAAAAGCTTTAAGATCTCTTAGGGGTAAAATTCAAGAAACTAAATCATGCTGCATTGCATGCTGGGTAATGGCCGCCATGTTTTATGACACAGCCAGTAAGCAGACCTACAGCTAACAAACAGGAAAGCCGACATGGGAGGGGCAAAGTAGTTAAAAAATACAGCCTGTGAAAGGGTGTTTCTTCTGATTTAGTTTTCATATTTAAACACTATTAACACAAAAAACCCTAATATTTGTATGGCCCAGATTAAAGCGTTGATGTGTGTTTTGTTTCACTTTTTAACATTTTGGAACAAACTCTGGAACTCATCTCTGTGACTTAATGACATTCCAGCTGCAAAGTATCAGGGGGGAAAATTACTTTAGATCTGAGTGTGGACTTTGTTTTTTCTTGACAAATTCTTGTTCAGTTTCTGTTTAAAATTTATAATAAAGTCTGTTTGTGCCAGTAAATTGAAACCATGAGTCAGAAGTATCTGGTCTGTAGTTAAGACAATGAATGTAATTGAGTGTGTCCTCAGCCTCAGCTTAGGAATGATGTCATTGTGTGGCATGTGGCAGAGACTGCTTGATTAGGCAATTCTTCCAGTCCAGTTTCATCAAGCATGTCACCGCTGCATGTGAAAGGCAACTTGACAGAAAATATTGAGGATGTAGTGATGTATATCATAAGATTTATAGCAGTAATGAAAATGCATTATACTTATTAAGGTCAAGTTAAGTCCATTACTAGTTAATACAGTTAATGCAAACACTAAACTGCTCATCAAAATATTAGTTCTGCCGATAGCAGGTTAGCAGATGAGCAGAACCGTGCCCACCACTGCTAATCAGCCAATTTGACATGTATTGAGCTCCAATTTAATTTGGTAGTAGCTGAGAGTCATTTACAGTATATACTCTGATGTTCTGCATTTATTGCACGAGATTGCACTAATTTTTATTGTCAAGTTTTGACCATGCATGGCTACAACATTCATTTTTCTTCGTGAGGTGATCTTAGTCTAAGACTCCAGCATGTATCAAGAAATGTTGTCTATATATATATATA